AAACCGGTTTGGCGAAACTTTCAGACCAATAAGACCCTGTGGTGAGATTATGCCTTCGTATGAATCGATACATCTAGAGCTTACTACTTATGCCCCGTCGGATGATGACGTTTTATGAGTAACTAGTTTTCACAGTCATCGAAAAGATAGTCCTTTAAATTACGACACATGCAAGTCATACATGTTCCACTTTAAAATTTTTCAAGTTCTTGAACTGGACTGTCCTGTGAATACGGAACCCAGATCTCAAGTGATTATCAAATCAACAGTAGAAAAGGTAAGTCGTGCTGTTTATTTTTCTTCGTCAAGTTGGACACTAGGGCGATCAGACTGACACTTGTAGGCTAAATGTCTGCAACTTGTGTTCCGAATAGGTGACATCTACATGGAGTCTGCAAGAGAATTTTGTCAGTCACGGTTGAAAGTGTTTTTTTCGGATAAGTAAAGACCAAAAAATAAGTTACTCACTTCGTTTAATCTCCTTGGGATGCGTAAAATGGCACTCCAGCACCTGAAATAGACAGTCCATTGTAGAACTAATCTAACAGGTTATTTTACCAAGCATGCTCCATCCGATAAGTTCCCTCTTGTGGTGCTAGTTGTACTGGAATGTGAATACAGTACAACAGCAAATGCACTTTTAGGTGAGAGAAAATCGAGCCAAACGTCTTTCACTCGGGTTTGCATACTAAAGGATTTTTTCTCCCCAAGTTGCGTCCTCAAGTAGACGCGGCTGTCCAGGCTCTTCCTGGGATGGGCTCACTAAGAGGGCAGCGTGAGGTTTCAAACAATCGCGTTGTAGCAAAATAAATTTAACACTTTCGTAAAGGCATTTATAAAACAGATTAATCGGTATTCCTTGACTGAATTTGGTTCGCAACATAGAACGTATAATTTAGACAGAAATCCAAAAATTTCCATCATACGCTTCGGAAGTAGCCTTTCTCAGTAGGCTGACAGAGATGTGGCACACATCAGAATCGGAGAGCATAGTAGAAAAATAAACAGGCCGCCGAGAAACGTGGATAAATATCAAGCGTTACTGGGGGACTCGGCAACTGCGGAACACGCACTGGACAGTGGATACAATAGATTTGCAAAATGTTGAGGTTTTGAGGCGTCACAAGGCTGATAGCCAAGGCTGTAGAAATCGCCAAGCATCCCGGCCTTAGCAGAACAGTTGTGGAACTGGCATGCGCGTGGTGAACGGTTTTGGATCAATCAAGCTAACACGTGTTGTTGTGCGGTCATCTGAATTCCACTTGATCACATCCCCTCCCTCAAACTGATTTGTCGGAGCACGCACACCCCCACAAACACCAAGGAAAATATATCAGTAACACCCGAGGTGAATCATCAATTGAAGCAGCCTGAAGTGGAAGATTGACGAATCAAACTCGATCAGAATTAATTTTAAACTCCCCCAATCTACCAAAGCAAGATTTTGACAATCACACTGAACACTGATCTAGTGTGATAATCTGAAGAGAACTTACTGATTGGTTCCCGGACTGTCTTATAACCTGGCCACTTTGGTGACCTGCTTACTTGGCCCGATGAAGCTTTTATATCAAAAGCCAAACATTGCCCAAGTAAAGACTACCGACTGTTCATGAAGGTCTTACGAAAAGATGTGGCACAGTTGTGTTTTGCTTCCACCCTGCCATCACACGGATCCCTGAAGTTTACTTGAAAGAATTTCCAACCCCGTTTTGGTACGGACAGTAGGCGATGTTGATCTGTTCCAAGCACCTACAACAAAATGTGTGAGCATACAAGAATTTCTGAAAAAGTTTAAACATCCAAAAATAATCGGTAACTAGGCATAAGTGGATTCAAAGTCATTTTGCTCATGTTTTGGGACATTCTTTTTACTCACTTGTAGAAGATCTTACCTCAAACGGATCTTTGCTGCATAACTACTTCCAAAACGATTTAATCTGCCCTGTGCTATAAGACCATCATGTCTGGCGACTCGGTTACATGATGAAACGCCGCGCAGACGCGCACCCGGTAAAGAATAGTCGTAGGCAGACCAGAGAAACGATGTAGCCTCGACATGTACTGCGGAGACACGTACACCTCTACAACGAGAAGCTTTCTTTTCTGTTCCAAAACCGTTCATCGAAAAAAGGTAATGATACGTCGATGCATGGTGAACCGGCCACAGCCAGAATGAATGCTCCCTGATTTCTGCTTCTCGCTGTTTGATGAGATGGCAGTTGATCTGTTCGTATAGCTTTTTAATTGGCTTTTTCAAGCTTCTTCGCTATGCGTGGCAACATCCTTGGTGCGCGATCGGAAGGGCAATTCATTCATATCCGTAATGCACTACTCATAAGGTTACTAAAATTTCGTCGACAGCCCACGACCGATTTCGCCTTTCTTGGGGCTTATCAGGTAGGTGCGAGCCCCGAGTTTACGTCAAGCTTATGTTCTACTTGAAACCAGATTGCAAGGACTTGGTGAAATGCACTCATTTGCAACCCAGTTTGAAAAAATCACCTGGAATCCAGCTGAATCTCCCGTTTGTGATGTTTCCTGGCATTTGAATATGCTGCACCAGGCTGCATCAGTCGCTACGACATTCCAGATATCGCGATGCATTACTCTTAAAATTGCTGAAAATTCGTCGATAGCCCACGACCGGTTTTGCCTATCTTAGGGCTCATCTAGGTGGGCGCAATCCCCGAGTTTCCGCCAACCTTAAGGTCTCTCGAAAATTCAGTTCAGTTTGCAAATGAGTGTATTTCGATAATTCATTCACTTTTTCTTGCTGTTATATCGTTTCGGAAAGAAATTTGATATCCACAACGTGACTGGTTGTTTGGGGATTGACTATTAAACAATTTCATTGGCCAGTTTTGGATTTGCGTTGCATTTTGTTCTGATTAACTTGAACCTGGCTGGTCCACGGAGCATCTTCACGTAGTAACCTCTGGGTACTTATCTTGGTTTGACCAGTTTTCTCCTGTGCCTGCGAGTATTGCTCTGATTTTATTAGTCAAGTGGACACTTTCAATCACTGATCTTTTCCTTTCCTTTATTCGATTGGCCCGCTTGCTATTTTTCCGGTGCTGGGTTTTGTTTCTCTGGTTCAATACTGGCTCATAAGGCGCTTTTCTTTTGAAGCAAGTTTTGTCCATTGTCCCGACAACCTGTTCTACCCGAAGGTTTATACCGAGATCCATACTGATGTATTGCACGTGATTTTTGAGCGACGGAATCCATAAACGCTGAGAACGGGAAGCGGAATTAGTCAGTTGGTTGGAACACTATTCAAGTCTCAATACATTTGCGTCTAAAGCAACAATTCTCTCGGGTCTCCAGTCTGGAGTTACACGACCGGGACGTTAAATTTTCCAAAAGTGGCACACAAGAATTATTTTTGACATAACTGTCCAGGAAGGCAATGTGTGTGTTTGTATTGGACGAGAAGCGTAAATAACGATTTACCCCTGTAATGAGCGGAGCACATTTGTGACTACGTAAATCATGTATGGGATTCATTGTAAAATCCAAAGTACTATTTGTTCTTTGCAGTCCATTCTTTTTGTCAGTGGCAGTGATATTGTATACGTAACGGATTAGAAACGATGGAACGTCACAGCCTTGTTTTGGCGAATCTACCTGAGCATCACTCAGCCTTTTCTTTGACAGCTTGTAGTAAGGCAGTGGTTTCAGGTATGATGTTCCCCTCCTGTTCGAAAGCCCGGGACCCCCCAATAATGGTTTCGCAGTTACCTCGCTTAAAATTAGGCGTATTGATTTGAATAATGGCCTCATACCATTAATTCATCCGTTAGATTAGTGTGCCTTTCACTGTATATTTAGTGGCGTATAAGCTTGGAAATACATAATAATGCAAAGAAAATTTGAGAAACCATCCAGCGAACCGTGCTTTTGTGGTATCTTTACGTCTGGTTGCAAACCTTTTTCGACCCAACTAGCCAGCACAGCGAACAGATTAGCTTTCAAACAATCTATGGTTGTTCTATTCATGTTATTTTTAAGTACCTTTGCGCTGACTGCCAGGTTCTTTTAGTTAACCGTCTGAAATCAACTGTAGCTCGTCAAGACTGCAAGCTTTCAGGATTAGCATATTCTACTCCATTTGCACTTTTTTATCTGGGATGTCCGGGTGGATCCTCGCCCACCACTATTCGTTATCCTGTTCTGTGTTTGCAAATTCTACAAGTACACTGTCAGTGCATTAAACCTGTTTCATCAAATATGTTTTTGCTGCACGCTTTTGACATTTCTTAATGCGCAAACATGCCTCCAGGAAGAATGGAACCAACTTCCAAGAGATCAACAACTTAGATTTATCCGGCTCCGAAAGCTAGCTATGAGTTCTCTTCCGGATATGCCTCTTTTTGATGGGTCTTAACCGTAGAACATCGTCAGACTTCTCCAACGTGTCAGCTGGCTGTTGTTTTAGTAGACTCTCCAAATTTGGATCCTAGTATTTCCGTAATATTTTATCTCTTTTTTTCGTACTACTCATCGAATAAGCCTCTCTGTAGACTGAGTGTACATGACTTAGAGACACCTAATATCTTGTCATCGGCCATTGATAAAAAACAGGCTTGCGTCGTCCGATCGTCTTTTAGCTGTGTCAATGAAAATTTCAAAGGTAATTTGAGGTGGAAACTCAACCATCTTTGGCACTTTCCCGTCTTTTCGTACACAATTACTTTTCAGGTTCGTAAAGCTTTGGATGATCATCCCGTGAGAGAGATTCGATTCCAAAAGGATGACTCGAACAAATCCGACCTACTGATTGTGGTGTATATGGATCCAGAGAAATTTTTAAATTTATCCAAAAGCTATGGACAATCCGATCTGTTAGACAACACATTTGAAGACACGCTGAACGAACGTTTGGCTGCCCTTTCACCTTCGCGAGTGAACCCTATCGCGTGCACACAGGACAGTAAGTGTCCAGTATTTTTTAGCTCACAATCTAATATTTTTTTCTTACCGGAGGTCCGTCTTTAACACGGTTTCCTAAGCGTTAAGTGGCCCTCTCTTCTGAGTTATGTTTCAACAAATAATATTTAGCCAAATGGACGGCCTGGCTATGATGCACTATCGTGTATATAACTGCATCCCGCAAACACTGGTTATTAGATGATATTGGTCTCTCAAAAACCCTGTCTACTTTCGGCATTTGTAAACTTGCATGAACGACAAGCTATTTGACCCCTTTGAAGGCAGGAAACAATAAAAGATACAAAGTGAAGATGTTTAAACGGGAAAGTTTGGATGACATCCTTCTACTCAACTAGTAATATTCAGTAAGTCATCATTTGCTAGCTGGTATGAGCGGGTTCCAACTTTTAACGGAATCGGATTAAAAAGGTGTGTATTGCCAACATTTATAGAGTACCAATTGCATTTATTTTACTGAAATCATTCAAAGAACGTTTAACCATCAACAGAGTTTTTAGTGGTTATCCAAAAATGTCTATTGCTGTTCAGGGCTGATCTAAACTACCGACGACCTTTGATAAGATCGTATTTCAAAAGCAAGAGTTTTTTAGTTGATTCCAATGGCTATCAGTCATACTTGTCAAAAGGTCACATTCTGCATCCACCGCAAAAAAGCAGATTAACGCTGTGGTGAAAGTTGGCGGAACGCATTGTCGTTTACACGGAATCATCGCCTAGGGCGAGTGTCTTGATGTTTGAAAAGGCTAACTGGCTAATCATTTGGGAGAAAAATCCGTTTGTACATCTTTCTCAGGGACAGTGACGCTCCATAGTTAAAAGAATTTCCGAATAAGTTTTAATCGATGACAACTGCCTTGAAAAATCGCCCATACGGCGTACATCCGCATCAGAACAATATCCGCAAATTTATAGACGCTGCGCGGGAAGAAGAAGTGATCATTTCCAGTACAATCATCGTCATCAACAGTGGTTACGATTATCTTGGTTGTTTTTTTGCCTCCTTCTTTGTAATTCTTGTGTAGTAAATGACTGCTCTATTTCGGAACTGCTGTTACTTTTTGGTTGAGTACGTTTCTACGACGAACTTTTTTCTACCGCAAAGCCAGTGTAAGAATCTAGGACTAGGGATCACACCACCCCGAGTATAACAACATGTGGTTGAAATTCCATATAAGGATGTAACCCCTGGTTATTTCTTGGAGTTGACATTAGAAGAGCAGTAACAAAGTGTGAAGCGCAGCACAAATGGTGCAATCTGACGTAATACGTTTTACATGCAAAAAATGTTAAAATACTTCAGATTAAGGTGGGACATTTGAGCAGAATTCAGCATTATCCTTTCTAAACAGAAGCCCACACTCGAAAAATACACTCGTTTGCAAATCAATTTGGTTTTCACAAGAGACTCAAATGCATCTCTCGTTTATGATATTCTACAACTCAAAGTGCTGCTCACACTATTAGAATGACAAAAAGCTCTATCGCTTTCATTGTTACGGACCATGTGCCACGCTTGTTGAAGGAGTAACTTGGCAAACATGCTATATAACCAACAAACCGACAAAAATAAGACTATTTTTGCAGTTCACAAAATATTCTCCTGTTTATGGCGTTAAGCATTGTTTTTGCTTTGTATATCTTCAAAAAATGATATGATATAGTAAAACTAAACTAAAAAATACATTGTACTGAGTTCTTTCTGGCTAGTGAAATTCTGGTTTCAGGTTCTAGGCTCCTTAGTTTTGTTTTTTTTACGTATAGGGATTGCCGATGTCAGTTGAGAGATACCACTGAGTATATATTGCCTTTTTTCAGGAATTTACTTACAAGCTCATGGCATCTGTCCAAAAGGTAAGCTCCGCAAAATAAATATCGGATGCAAATTTGAAAATTAAGTAGACACAGTCCTTGTAAAGGTAAGGTACAAACTAAACAACAAAAGTACTTGCATCAGACTGTCTTCATAAACGCGCTTTTCAGGTTGTTCGCCCCTCATTCAGTTGCACACTGGGCAGACAGGCTCGGTTTGACTGTTGTGTAAAACCAGATGTCTTCACAAATAAGTATTTAATGGCTGAACTCTTTTGTAGCTCGAGAGCCAGGAAGTATTCTCCCGCCAAACCGAGCGTCCGTTACCACTGAAAGGTTGCAAGGTAGCCCGAATCATCACCCATTCAAGATGAGCGTTACCAATGAGAACTGGATTGAACCCTACCCACAGAATGGTTAGATTGATTACGAGGGAATCGAGCAAATTTACAGTGCCGGCACATTGTGGACACAGCAGACTGGTTCCTTTCCTGTTAATTCATGTGACCAAGAAACACATATAACGTTATTAAAACATGCTTGACCAAGCGAAAAATTGCGGGCTTTGACCGAAATTCTAACGAAAACATCTGAAACGGTGTTAAATGTTTGTGGAAATTCATACGGTACTAAGAAAGATGGTACATGACTTTAGTTCAGGCTGGTATTAGATGAAAGAAAAGGGATTTTAGCTCAAGCCATGTGCGCATGTATCGAGAATAGGATTATAAACAAGAAGTTTCCTGAATCCAATTTGTATCAGGCTATTTATAAGGTTTCAAAAGCCACATTTTTATATTCGATGAAATCATGACATTTGATGACATCTGAATGTGAGCTAAAAGTTCATCTTAGGGGCACTCGGAAGGAGATCACGAAAGAAACTGCATGAAACTATGGAAAACAAAAACAGAGTTATAAATTGGAATCTGAACGCCGTACAATTAAACCACACACGATATGAAAGACCAACCTTAGGAAAAGGATGATAACGGAGAGTTTAGAGAGAAATTAGCAGTGTTACGTCAGGATAATCTCTGATTGTTTATTATTAAATCAACGTTTGGGAGGAGTTTTTATTTTCCAAAACTGGAAAGCCACACAAGCAATCAAGTAAAGTCAAGCATACCCAGTATTAAAAACAAAAAACTGGACACCACCAAGGCGAACAGACAACTATTGCACAAAAGTAGCCCCAAGTTTTGGATCCGTTGCAAAATTCTCGGCGAGAAAATCATTAGTTCGGGAAATCTAGAAACTTTCGAGGTTTTTTCGAAGCTGCTGTCCAAAACTTTGGACCACTTTCTACCACGTTACGCTGTCCAACAAGAGTTGGCAATGACCACAACATCAGGGGGTTATTGTGGTTCATCTGAGACTTGGCGGGGTTGGGAAGAATCTTTGTCTTTCCGAAAATGGAATAAAAAGAACCGAGCAATCTGTTGAATCTTTTATGAGAGCAAAAATGGACGCAAATCTTGTTGGGGTATTGGGTGAATCTGTGGAATACCCACAAATTCCGATGAAGCCTATGGTTAAAAATATTCATTCGTTATAAGTCTATGTTTCAGGTAGTAGATATATTTTGGTGATATATTTGGGGGAAGTTGAATTCAGTGAAATTCGACTTTGACGCTGGCTAGTACTCAGAGTTGGGTCGATACTACAGGCAGAAATTTCGAACATAAATGATGATCTACACACACCAGTCAGGATAATACAGCAGAAATTTCGAACATAAATGATGATCTACACACACCAGTCAGTCGATGACTTGTCCGCCATTCTGACTTATTCATCAGTGGGAAACTCGCAAATATATGGCCGTCCCGTGAACCCCATACCCAGAAGTTAAGATGATTGCTTTTCGTGAGGTGAGCAACTGAACAACTTTGAAAAAATCCGTACTTGTCACAGTGATACTTCACAATAACCTGTTTCAGCAAGGGAATAAATGACTTTTTCTTCAACAGAGTAATTCAAACGAAATTGATGTGTTTTAGACTGACCATTTTCAATATGCCTTGCACGACACAAACCCGTTTTAGCAAGCGCTGATCAACAAACCGCAGCCGCATGGACTAATGAGCATCGCAAAGTGTTACCGCAATTTAAGAATTACGTGATACATATTTTAACAATCAAGTCCGAATCTGGGGAAACGGAGACCTGTTCATCAAAGAGTCCTTTACATACCAGCTGGTCACTCCAGGTTTAACAAGATCCTGGGTGTCTTTTTGTTCTACTAAATACTCAGAAAACCAGTATGCAATCTTTTTGGAATCCACAAAGTATTTTTACTCGACCCATTGTACTGGTCATGAGTATGTATTTTGTGTCATATACATTCACACCCGCGTAAATTGGAGTGCAGTATCGATCATTCCACATGACTGAAAAAGACCTAGTATCGCTCGTTTGTATATCTTTAATCGAAACCATAAAACTCCGAGTTTCTCCTTGTTCTGTTTTCTTAGGAGGAGAATTTGTTTTCATCGGACAGAATTCTACGAGTACCAAACTTTCGGTATGCCTATGGAGTGCACTAATGCTACTGTTGATCACATGTTGTTGGCGATGTAAGTGGGATCATTCCATGGATGAGTCCTTGGTTTTATGCACGTTGATATTATTCAGACTAACTCATACTTACCACACTATTCCAACGGTACTGCAAATATTCATATCGCATGGCTGTTTGCGATTCAGCTGTGTAGTGCAGAGACGGTCTGAAAAAATAAGTCTGATTTAAGTCTACTGCAGGGTTATAAGTAGTAAAACCATTACGAATGTTTATACCCCCAACTGAGTTGCGAAGGTGGATTGTTCCGTGTCCCATTTGACAACAAATTAATACATCTTTTCCGCGTATCTACCATGTATTTTCATTTGTACATCCAGATAAGTGAACGAGAGCTTCATGGAGAGAAATCCGTTTGGGGCTTGTATGCCCACGCTTCCGTGCGGTGCGCAGCTCACTGTTATTACTGTACATCCACTACCACTAAAACACTGTAGACGTTACAGCTTATCTTACAGTGTGGGGAAAATACTTCCGAAACGACTCATCAACCATAATACTTATTACGGACGATGGTTGACACTCTGAGCTAAAGTTTGAGTCGTCATTCCATAAGATCACTTCTGAAGACAACCAGTACCACGGTGGTTGTATATTTGAAGTCTTCGTTCACCAAAAAATATTGAAACCTCCTGCTTGCCAGTCACAACATTGGGAATCTGTCTCTCCGAAAACAGACTGTGATTCACAACCTAAGGCCACCTAATTCTTCTCACTGCTCTGATCACTCCATTTGTTTTGAATGTGGGTACCTGTGGATAAATTGGGCCAGTAGTTAATACGCACACATTGAAAGACAAGAACAACAGTTTCCAAACAGGTTCCTGTTCGTGAACTGCTGAGTGCTTGCCTCTGGAATGCTCAGTTTTGTTAGAATCGTACTTGGGCGGAGTTGTCGATGTCAGTCACATTAGATGACCAAGTGTTTACCAAGAGCGTTTTCCCGGAACTGGGTAGTAGTACATCCGTAGGAACCGGCTGAAACGATAGTTTGGTCCATTTAACTCACTTGCTCAGATAAACAATAGTTACTCATGAACAAAGGATATCCAAATAAGTTCCCTGTATTTTTGTACATTTTGACAATCAGGCACAAACTAAAGTTGTGCTGTTGTGAAATCTCATATTCGTTGACGCAACTGTGGCCTCTTATCTAAACTTCTTGTTTTATAAATTGCAGGACACCAAACCGGTCTCGATATAGGTCTCCTGTATATAACTTCTCAACCTGACTTCCACTGATAACTTTGATTTATCAACTGCCGTGTATCTACATGTAATTACGTGTACACATTTTAAAAGAAAACACTTCCGATGTGATATCGTTTTTTTCACGCGCAGAATATGTGGAAAATAGTGTTGTCAATTCATAATGGCTTTCAGATTAGTGAAAAGACTAGCTAGTTCGGTTTGCATGATCACATTGTGGGGCCAAAAATATACCGCTAGGTCAAACATTACAGTGGTTCAACATCTCAGCTAATGAGGCTGTTTTCCAGTTTCCATCAAAAGCCTCCCAGATTCTTACGGGGCTCGCTGTAAGAGAGACTTTTTACGGGACTTTGCTCACCGCATTTTGTACCATCAAGGTATACAGACGGACGGATGGCAGTTTGTTGATCCTGCCCGCCTGAACAGTGGTTGAAATATCGTCAAAATCTACTCTCAAGGTCCTTGTTGGTATCTAGACTTGCTCATCAAAATTCTTGTGTAGCATTCTGAAATCGCATGCCTTAAAGTAGCCCAATAGATTCAACTTCGGGATTACGTACTTTCTTTTCCTAGCGCGAATATTTTGCCAGCAATTCGGTAAACCAGTTCGAGTTGAAGGTACCGTAATATATTCACTCTATTAACTAGCGTGAGGTGAATGCTTACATCAAACCTGTCACTGGAATCACAAACTGATAGCTGAATTTCTGTTCATTTGGTACAAAAAAGTTATGCCTTCTGGTAGAAGAAAGATGTTTCCTTAGCAAGACCTGGAGAAGCCCACTTGAAAGTGATGCAAAGTAACATTTGAAATATTCCACAATAAAGTGCACTAATTATGTTCATTAATAGGCAAACCAACCAGGCAAGCCGTGCCCATTGTGACCCTTGTTAGTGTAGTTAGGGGGCATGAACAAATTTCTATGATCAAAGGAATGTTTTCTTTGTGACGGATTCTAAAAGCTTTTCGTTCCGCACAGCTGGGCTATTGATTTGTCAGTTGAATCATTGGCCGCACAAGCAACATACAAAGCTATCGTGACCCAAATTGGATGTGCACCGAAAGGGAACCGTTGCTATCGCAACAAAGCATTGGTATTTTCAATTCAAGAGCTATCGATCACTGAAACGTAATTAGTTTTCCTTTTTCTGGTTACGATCATGCCAATTTTGGAGTAAAGTTCAAAACTTCAAATAAAGTTAGCCAGATACTGGCCAGCAAAGTACAGCCTAACTGCACCAGAGAAAAGGTATTTGTAGAACATGACGAAATAAATTTCTGGTGAGGCGTTGAGCTTCGTGATGTGTTTTGTGGGAAACACTCCCAAGTGCTTCTTGTGTTGGAAGAATAAATAAATAAAACATTCCCTGTGTAACAGACTCAGAGGCGAGAAAAACCAAAAGGAACGCACTGGAATCCAAAGAATATTTTTATAAGCTTGACGGCTTGCGAGTATCAAGTCAAGTAATTTGTGTGTGACGGTCACAGAAACTTCGCGGATATCTGGCTTGTTAAACACAACAAAGTCTGTACAGAACCTGACGAGCACAGATGACTAGAACTAGGTTAGACTGGGTAATTTATTGACTGACTGAAGGAAAAGTGAGCGAAAACCATGGCTGCGATTGTGGTGCGATTCCCGGGTTGCCAAAACAGCTCACTTTTATTCGATTTATACGCTCATTTGCAAACCAATTCGGGCTTGGCAAATGACTCACTTGGGATTCAGATGAATTCCATGTTAATTATATCTGAATGCAGGTGAGTGTTCTGCGCGAAGGCCAACCCATCTTTCACTTTTACGATACGCCTGTATCGCAACGAACAACAGGGGGACTGGACCTACCGCAGGAAGGGCGAAACCGGGCATGGGCTGTTGAAGAATCTTCAAAAGACTTATGTCTAGTGCATGACGTACATGCATTACGGCGCATTGCGGTACATACTGTGATATCTCGAATATCGTACCAACTGAGGCGCCAGACGGCCTGATGCAGCACATTCAGTTGAATAAGTACATCATAAACGAGGTATTTTGCTGTTGATATGCAGTTCACTTTATTGGTCCAATTTTGATTCACATAGAACATGTGCTTTACAGAATCTCGATGATGATGCCTCATTATAAACCTCAAGAAGTGCAAACTTAGTTGTGAGCTGCAAAATAGCCCAGTTTTCATTTGCATACGACTGAAAAGCTTTAAAAGATTACTCAGTGAAATATATTGTAACCTGGTTTATGGTTCTTTTCTTTATTTTGGTTATATTCATACATTTATACTGAAGACCATCATGAACACATTCGGCGTAAGGACTCTCACGGTTAATGGAATCTTCCTGAAACAATTTAGCTAGCTAGTCCCTTTTCGAACCCTATACCCTCTTTAGCTGTATCTCGTAAACAATAAGGTGGATAATTTCAGAGCAATCGTAATGCGAAACAAGGTAAATAACAAGAGTTCATAAACAGTTTGTTGCTCTGATTTCGGTGATAATCGTCCAGAACAAGCTGGATGCACATCGGTGCTTATACTTCCAAGCTCAATCGATCCACATGCTGAGCGTTCGCTAGCCCTAAAGCGTATGAACTCCTAATCACGTTGGACAAGTTTATCTCCCGTACCATATTTTGGCTAATTAGCCCGCCAATCGGAAGCATCAACATAGAGTTTGCAAGATACCTTTAATTCCATCGATCAGTTTGAAGAACGCTGTTAGGTTTTCCTTAAATTTATTGCTAATATTTACTAAGCTGCTGTTTACTAAACAATGGGCTTAGTTTAAAGCTTGCTTGCGCGAAACATTTCCACCCCAAACCGAAAAAGAATACTTTAGTGTTTCTAAGGCGATCAATTCAAAATGACCAACGAGTTCCATCAGCTAAGAGACGGAGGTGAAAGTGAGTCATGTTTGTGCACGAATCCGATCGGTATGTTCAGTAGGTAACCACAGCCTTCGGGCTAATCGCACTTTGAGTTGCTACTTAGTTGGTATGTTTTTGATGGCCAAAGTCAATACCGGTTAAACTGACGGTTCACCACACTATCAAAGTGAGAGATTTATTCAGGTCAACTGAACATACTTTTCTTGCAACTCCAAAGAGAGCTCAATGGCGAATTTGGTGTTTCCATTGCGAAACAACTTGAATGGGTCGACAAATTAAATTTTTTTATACTCGTCTACTATTACACCGACAAATATATTCGCTTCGGGTAACCTTCACTGGAAAGTGAATTCTAGGATCCGATACGACTAACAAGAGGGTTCCCACGCAAAACTTTCCAAGCCAAAATGTAAGAACGTTTCAACAAATCTTCAAAAAATCTACATCTATCTCAAACTCCCACTCAAAGGAGGTAGTTACGATAAAAGTGATTAAGCTCATTGATATGGCGAGCGTATATTCAATTCTGGTGAAGCATTTATGTTTATCCTGAAAGATAAATTATCACTGCAAAGCTCTCACTTTTTGTGTCGAGCATGATATTCTGGTCCTTGGCAACAAAAATTGGGCTGATTCCACGGAGAACTGCTTCTTACAGTCTCATATCTGTTGCAGAATAAAGTGAAGCTTCACGCCAAGAAGACCATTTATTTCGTTCATTTGGCGCGATTACTTATTCCTCTTCATTAGTAGTAGGAAACGATAAAAATATTTCGAACGAGATATCTCCCTGGAAATTACGATACAAGACCGAGAAGCATTAAAAGGGCATCTTAGCTGTTTTGAGGAGTATCGGATCTGCGAAACTCAAGGATATTCAAGGTCATTTGAACCCGTGACT